AAATGTGCTACACACCATAGAAAATATCACTGCAGGGGTTTTAACCTCCATTTAAATAAAGTCAGTGTTTCAGCAGTTTTGTAGTTATATGGAAGTTTATTCCAGATTTAGAGCATAAAAACAGAATTTACTTCTCAACATTTGGTTCTGGGGATGCAGGAAAGTATTCCCTCTGACGTCACGCAGTGTTGCGTTTAGGCTTTTGAATGCACAATGAATTTGAAGTGTCGAAATGGGACAAAATACAAAATGTTTCCACAGCAAAATGTGGCAAAGAAGAAGCACTGTGAAGACTTCCCATCTGGTTTAAAATGCAACGCCGCACGCCCAACCTTCAGAAGTGCAAACAAATGACTAACGAGGAACGGCAACAACTGGTGAGAAGAACCGGAGGACAGGATAAGAAGTGTCGGGGTGGAACGGGGAGAGAATGATGGAGGAAAGGAGAGATGGGGGGGGATGGCAGGCGGGCGGACAGAGACGGGCGGCATAGCCGTCCTTTGTGGAGTGCGGAAAGGTCAATTAGACAGTTTACAGACCGCCGCCGCCGAACACAATCACACACTCCACACACACACAGCCTGGTACGCAAACGGAGGCTTAGATTTCATTATTCGGCTGCCAACCTGCCCATCGGTTTGCGCGAATGAGACGTTATCAACCTCATTTTGTTCACGCACAAAAAGAGCAACAACTGAAAGACCAAAAAATTCTAGTTTTCATGCAGCAACAGGAGAGGGGGGGGGAGCAACGGGACTCCAACCAACGCTGGGCTCTGCCAAAGTGAAGAGATCAATGGCGGGATGGTGACCGAGGACAGCAGAGATGAAAGAGAGAACAGAGTGATGAGAGGATGAGCACATGCACAGTGGGGTTGTCTCCCATGGTAACCGTCTGTTGCTGAATATCATAAATATTCATACGAGGAAAAGAGGGAGCGGCCTATGCCACATTCATGCCATTTCCAATGAAGCACATTTTAATTAGGCGGAGAGAGAGAGGGGGTTCGTTTTTTATCAATTACTGGGGTTTCAATAATAGATATTTGAATTAAGGGGAGGGAAAGGCAGACTGACGGAGACTAATTGAACAGGAAGGATTGGTTTCTGGAATATTTGCAAAAAAAGAAAAAAAAAGTTTCTTGCCAGAGTTCGAAAGGCTGGAGCTGACCGGTGGACATGCGAATAAATTTGGATTGGGAATTATTCTAATTTGCTTCCTGTTAGTGAATAAAATGTTGCCATTTGTTTCAGTGACTATGTTCTAAATATAAAGGTTCAGCTAAAGGAGCACACATTGTTGTTAAAAGTGTGAATTAATGGGTCATTTTGGGATCCTTCTTTATGTTTCTGTGCAAATTTTGACATTTTTGTACAAATTGCTTTAATTATGCATTAATTTGCCTAAAACCATCTCAGTGCACCTCAAATTGTGCCAACGCAGTTGAATTCTCCAATGTGTTTAAAGGTGACCTATTATGCCAAATACATTTGCTATTTATTATTTTTTTACACAACATCATTTTTAAACGATGAGATGTTAGTCCGGTCATTTCTGCCTGTTTTGAGCCATTTCAGGGCCTCTTGTCACTTTAAATCCAGGTAAGCCACGCCCCCAATTAAAAATTGACACTCGCACGTGAAATCAGCTGCAAATGGAAGCGCAATTAGATGTTTTTGAAAAGCAGAAGTGGAGCCTGCTGCACAACCAACAAGAATGCAGAAAGTGGTCCCTAGATGGCAAGTCAACAACAATATAAAATTCCCTTCTCACCCACCGCGGGTGGTTCTTATCCTCTGAGCTCGGGTCCTCTACCAGAGGCCTGGGAGCTTGAGGGTTCTGCGCAGTATCTTGGCTGTGCCAAGGACTGCACATTTCTGGACTGAGATGACCGAGGACAGCAGAGATGAAATATATATATATATATATATTTATAATAATTCCCTTCTCACCCACCGTGGGTGGTTCTTATCCTCTGAGCTCGGGTCCTCTACCAGAGACCTGGGAGCTTGAGGGTCCTGCAGTATCTTGGCTGTGCCAAGGACTGCACATTTCTGGACTGAGATGTCTGATGTTGCTCCTGGGATCTGTTGTAGCCACTGCTCCAGTTTGGGGGTTACTGCCCCGAGGGCCCCGATGACCACAGGCACCACTGTGGTCTTCACCTTCCAGGCCCTCTCCAGTTCTTCCCTGAGGCCCTGGTATTTCTCCAGTTTCTCGTGCTCCTTTTTCCTGATGTTGCAATCACTTGGTATTGCTACATCTACCACAACGGCTTTCCTCTGATGTTTATCCACTACGACAATGTCTGGTTGGTTCGCCATTACCATTTTGTCTGTCTGGATCTGGAAGTCCCACAGGATCTTAGCTCTGGCGTTCTCCACCACCTTTGGGGTGTTTCCCACTTTGATCTCGGGGTTTCCAGTCCATATTCTGCACACATGTTTCTGTACACTATGCCTGCCACTTGGTTATGTCGCTCCATGTACGCTTTCCCTGCCAGTATCTTGCACCCTGCTGTGATGTGCTGGACTGTCTCAGGGGCCTCCTTGCACAACCTACACCTTGGGTCTTGTCTGGTGTGGTAGATCTGGGCCTCTATTGCTCTGGTGTTTAGGGCCTGTTCCTGGGCGGCCAGGATGAGGGCCTCTGTGCTGTTCTTGAGTCCAGCTTTTTCCACCCATTGATAGGATATATATATATATATATATATATATATATATATATATATATATATATATATATATATATATATATATATATATATAATTTTTTTTTTTTTTTTTTTTTTTTCCAGCAGCCATTGTACAGAGAGTTAAAGCACTGATACCAGCTGACCAAATCTGCTGGAGCTTTGCTTGGGTTGCTAGGTGACGGGATACTAGATTTGTCACTTGTTGGTTTTTTGATAAAACGTCGCTGAACATAGCTAAAGTTGAATTTCTCTGTTCACCCCACATACAGCCACGTCTTCTGGCGTCTCTTTGCTCCGCCCACTTTGCTGGAATGTTTCAACATTTGTCGGGGGTTAGACTTTCACGGGGGTGGGGGGGTTACTGTGTTAGCTACACTTTAAAGAAACTTGTAGCCTGTCCTGAAAAATAAAACTAATAAATGAAGAGAAAAACTTTTGAAATGAATACTCCTGCTTAAATCTGATCTGCATTCAGATTTGGATAAATCTAAAGTAAAGCTGAGCTGGACTGTCTTTGCTTTACAGTATTCAATATTTACACACTCAGGTGTAACTCATTCCTGCATCTGTATTATTTTCCTCTTAAGGACAATGTTTCTATTACAAACATCCGCTGGAAAAGGACAAGTCCCTCTTGCACACATGCAAACAAAGAAAGTCACAGATTTCCATATTGCTCGTTGTCCCTTTTAATTTCTACCATCTGATATTTCATATTAGTGAGAGTTGGATGGGACTGTTTGCTGTGGCAGACCATCAAACTCTGTTGCAGAGGGATTTGTTGCTTACCTTGGACCGAAGGACACACACACTACCGGAGTGCTGCTGAAGCGTGATGGACATTGACCTTGTGCTGAAGGTTGCACCATTCCCAACGACAAGCTTTTACTAATCTTGGCCTGGTGCCAGCCCGTGGCCCAGTTTTTTCCTCCGTACATTTCTTCTCGTGTCAAACATCAAGATTTGTAGATTCCCCTCTTGTGTATTTCCTGTTTACCTTAGCGCCAATGTGTTTCGAATCTTGTCTTCAATATCCTTCTGTCTGCCCTTTGAATGAGATTATATATGAACGATGGCACGGAAAAAAGCTGCCTTCTACAAGAAGTGCGTGCATGTCACTTCAAGATCAGGAATATTCTCTTGTAAAATAATATTACTGTATAAGAATAAAGAATGCTGTGAAAAATATGACTTGTAATTTTTGCTTTTGAAATATATTTTAAAAAAGCATCAGGAAAAACCCGTGAAAATTGTGGATGTGGTGGATTGCGCATCACTAATGACGCTCAGAGATGAGTGGAATATTTTTCCTTCCCAGATTTCTTCTGGTTTTGTGTTAAATATCCAAGGTCATCAAATCAATTTGAATAAAAGACAAAATAGCCTCAAGTAATCAAATTAAATTCATCCAAGTAAATCAAGCTTGTTAAATTGCAATGGTAAATAAATGTGACTAAATTAAGTTGACAAACTGAATTTGGTTACATTTAGCAAATTAACTATATTTTTTAAGTTGGAGCTCCAATTTTTTTTCCCGTGGAGATCAGTCCGCTATATACTTACTTACGTCTTGCATACACATGGACAAATATGCATGTTTTTTGACACAAATGGAACCCCATACAGGTCCACCTCTTTTCCAGTCTTGTCTTCCATACCAGAACTTAAATCTCATTGAGCTGCCAGTTATTTTGTTGAAGGTGACCTTCATTCTCTAGTGAACACGTGTTAGTGCTAAAAAACCCCAAGAGAGGTTGCTAATTTGATCAGTTCTCCAAGAATAGTGGACACAAATCTCTCCACAGCAATGGTAGACCCTGAGAAGCAGTTATTGGTGCTTGGTTGCAGCCGTTCTTTACACAAACAATTATATGCTTTGAGGTGTATTTGCTCTTTCACATGGAGTCCAGTTGGTTTTAACCGTTTTCCTCCCCAAATTTAATAAATAAAATAATTTGAAAACATTTTTTTTTATTATTTAAAAAATATTTTCTCCGGGTATATTTGTCTGATTTTACAACTTCCTTAATTATTTGAACACTCGCGTGTGACGGAGTCAAATAAGAAGCAAAAATAAAAGTCGCAACATTTTCTCATTTTCTCAGCCTTCTGCTAGCTTCTTCTTCTTCACCCACTCTTTTCGGTCGCACGAGCTCACGGTCAACGACACAGCCGCGCGCACAGCTTGCTTCTTGATTGGCAAGCCGCCTCGTCCAATCGGGTGTAAGGGAGCCGCCTCTCGGCGGAGCGCCGGCCAACTGGCGCGCGCGGGAGGCGGGGCTTATGCAAATGTGTTGGCAAGGGAGACCCAGCGGTTCATTCATCTTCTTCCACGGAGAGAGAAGGAAAGAGAGAGCTGAGTGAACTCGGGAGTCTGCTTTACATGAGGGACGAACCGTTCGAGAGGAAAATACTGCCGTGACGTCGAGCCGGGAAGCACTTTCCTCGCGTCAGAAGGAGCTGAATTTTTCCCTCAAACACAACAGGGTAAGTGGAGGTCATTTCCCTCCCCTGCATCCTCTGTTCTCATGGTCTGCTTTCGCTGCGCGGTTATTGTAGAGCCACTGGGTGCGGGGAGAAACAGAAACAATGAACCAAATGAGTTTTATTCGTTAGCTGACAGAACAAGTGATAAAAGAGGAATAGTTTCTCTAAAGAACAGTCTTCTGTTACATTACGTATCTCTGCGAATGAGTCAGTTGGCGTCTCAGCTGTACTTGTTGAGCAGGTGAGCTCAGTGTTTTCCTGGAGGGCACTTTGAACTGACATTTTGGTGAGCACATCTACTTTCATTTAAAAAAGTAAATAAATAAAAGGTATTCTGCAGACCTGGTGACTCATATGTTTTTTTAATTATTTGTGTTTCATTTAAGAAGAAGCGTTTGTTTTTGCTAAATGCAAGATGTCCTTCATGCTGTGGGAGGAATGAAATAATAAACAGGAGGAGAACAGGAACACGTCTGCATCTAATCTGCTCGTGCAGAAGATAAATATGGTACGAGGATGTAAATGGGTGCCTGAGTAGCTGGTTATCTTAACATAATAGCTGCAGCAGGAATCAGGGTGCACGTCCTGCAGTCTGCGGTTGTAAATCCTGACGATTGTGCCTTTTAAATTCCTTCTTTTTTTCCTGCAGCCATGTCACGCTGCAACTAAAAGCCTGACTGTTTTTATTGGGATTTTATGTAGCAAAGCAGAGCAGGAAAGGATAGTGATGTATATTAATGTGGGACCTCAGTGGCTTCCTCTGCTTTTTTTTGTGTATGTGTGTGTGTGTGTGTGTGTGTGTGTGTGTGTGTGTGTGTATGTGTGTGTGTGTGTGTGTGTGTGTGTGTGTGTGTGTGTGTGTTTTACTTGCCTTGAATCACAAATTCTCTTAGTCTGCGTAACAATTGCCAGTACTGAGTTTGTGGAAGTAGGTCTGCTGTAATTTTTGTCTGATACGGTATGTAGGACAGCACTGCAGCTGCTTTATGGTTGTTATGCTTTCAGCTTTCAACTCAAGCTTTTCCTCAAGTGCTGCTGAGCAATTACAGTCCTGCATTTTGGAACCAACGGATGCCCGGCTACCGCTGATTTATTTTGGGGTCACAGCTTTGTGCTAAGAGGGCTAGCACTGTAATCATGACCCATTTTTTATTTTGTTATTTTTTTTAACCACATGCTTTTCATCTGCAAAAGTTTGTGACCCGCATAAATAAATTAATTTCATATTGCTGTGAGGTTTGACATTATAAACAGAACAACAAAACAAAACACACACACACAACCTTTAATTTCAGTACATTTGTTCAACGGGGGAAAATATATTTTGCTAGTGAAATATTAAAATAAAAAGCAAAAAAAGAAATGTAGTAAATAAATACACTTTTTGACATTGTTGTCCAGCTCATTAGCTAAAAGTTAAAAGAAATCTGCGTCCATCAACAGAGTGCCATGTCTCTACGACAACTGCTTGATGCCATCTATATGCAGTCTTGTTGTTTTGATGCCAAAAAACATCCTTTGTTGTACCACCACAAATGTGAACATAAAGAGCTTTTTTTAGACTGTAGGATTTTTACTAGAACCCTTTGCTTATGTCAGATGAGCGAGAGGCCTAGTCCACACATAGCTACACGTAACTATCATAAATGCAGGAAAACAAATATACTTCTATGCATTTTAGCCTGGCTTTCATCCACATGAAAAACTCTTAATATCACTTAGAACTAATATTTATAAATACTCAAACCAAATTGGAGATTTGAGAAAACTCTGTGTTTGTGTGGGAACATGGGAAAACAGAGATTTAATGCATTACAGTTGGTGACAATTCACCAATATGTTCATGTATTGCCTTTGATATGATTCCCAATCGGCATCGTCTGGTGCTTTACCAATTTTACATCCTGATAACATAATTGAAAGTAGTTCAGGCTACAAATGAACCTCCTGGGGTCAAGTTTAATCCCTAACAGGAAGTCGTGGTTGTTTTGAAGCAATCTGATTGGCTAGCATAGGCTGTAGCTTTGCACTACACTGCCTGCTATGGTTTAAAGCAATGTTCAGCGGTGTATTTGTGTGAGTTCATTAAACGTAAACTTCTCTGATGGTTTGGCGAACCGTGTCAGAGTACATGATTAAAAAGTACATTACATGACAACCCAATGGGCTTTGTCAAAAAACTGAAAGTAGGTTCTAATTGGGTATTTCAGCAGGATAACAATTAAGAAATATCAACACAAACATTATTGGAGGCAAAATTTAATTGACCATCACAGACCCCAGATTTACATTAAATCCTATATAAAATCTCCATGAAGTGTATTCTGAGAAGACGATAGGACCCAGCACTCTTGACCACTTAAAGGTATTGGAATAGACAAAGACTACACTTTATTTTGTTGTCAATAGCATATTATCTATTGGCGCAATCATACCAGCACTGTTTAGTCCGCTTTAATTAAAATCTAGTTTGTTTGCCTAGAAAGCCCAGTTCGTTTGGGGAGGTGTGAAAGCACAGTCAAATTCTGATGCGGACCAATGAAGTGAACACTAGTCTGCTTAAAAACTTGATTTGGAATTAAGTGGACTCTGGTGTGGTTCAAATTTCATATGTGGATGCAAGCAGACTCCAAATGCGGGAAGTGAACTATTGTGCAGAGCATTCTGGGTAAATAGAACCCAAACAAACACAAGAGTCGAGGCTTGAGAAATGGCTCTTGGTCTTTTACCAAAGACAAAAGAGAAATCCTACAACCACTAATTTCCAACACTACTTTGTGTTTGATTACATTTTGCGAAGAAAGAAGTTGTTTTAATGTCTTCTTTGGAGGTTTTTGTGTCGTTTTGTGCAGTAGCTCTTGGTGCAGCGCCACCACACCGAGGGGTTGAATAGGTTTTTATATTAGTTTGGATCATTTGACACAGTGCAGTGTGGCGACCAGATGTTGCAATTTTGGTCCCCAATAAAACCAAGTCTGCCAGACTATCAGGTGTGAAAACACTCGAGGTCTTCACTGAATAAATGATCAAACAAGAAAGACTTTAATCACTTCAGTGTTCAGAGATGTTCTTGTTGCTCCATTGCTATGTCCAACAGCGTGTGGAAAGAAGCTGCAGCTGACCGAGCAGCAGGTCAGTGAATGCTACTGTATCCACATCCTGGGAAGTTTGGAAAGAGTTATTGATCCATGCACAGTGCAATAATACCAACATAAAGCAACATGTTAACTGCTACTGCTATTCCCGTGTATGTGTGTGTGTGAGTGCGTACATGGGCGTGTATGCGTGTGTTTGTGTGTGTGTTTTTGAAGCGTTTTACAGCCTCACACGAAGGATGCTGTGTTCCTATAACACACTCGTTTTGTTTTGTTTTTCCTCTCCCCATGCATCATTTCCATCTTGGTAATAAGCCATGTAGCCAGGTGTACTGCTCATCTGTCTCATGGATCACCGGCTCTGTGTGTGCGCATTGTCCAATGTACGTCTTTGTGTTTGAAGCAGGGCGGCTTTCATGATGCACACACACCTCTTGACTGATTGATTCATCCATTCTTGACACATGCTTTATTACCCAGGAAGAGAGATGATTGAATATAGAGATGTGTGGTCGTTGTGTGTGTGTGTTTGCAAACGGGCTGATTGTGGTTGAGCACCAATAAAAGAATTCAGAGTGAGGGAGTTTTGTTGGATCATTGGTGGGTAACTGGTGAACGCTTACAGATGTTAAAACTCAAGGTCCTTCATTCAGCTGAAGATACCACACAGAAGCTGTGGTTGAAGGATGGTTAAACTAGCTTTTTCCTCAAACATACAGCATATGTGGAAATATTTGTGGCTGAATGATGTGGCATATCTTTCTAAAATATTAGAAAGACGTGCCCTCCAGGTGCACCGATAGATTGGTGATATTCCAAAAGTAAGAGAAATGGGACACGATTTATTTAATTTGAGGAGGTCAGCGATTGGCCTACACTTACACGATTAATCTAACTAATCAACCAACATTGTCTACCTCCATCAAGGTCTAGAAACCAACCACTGTCTCCTTTTGTTCTGTTGTTAGAGAGGGTTGATTGATAGACCTGCCAACCAGATAACGTCTGTGCGGTTAACAATAGTCACTTGTCAAGTTTGCAGCTTTGTCGTAACATTAATGACTTTTCAGACCAATGAAATTGGTATCGGCCAGGATTGGAATTGTAACGTCAGGCTTCCTAGAAATCGGTGACAAGCCAGAGAACTTCAATTGCTGCACCTCTACTTTTCACACTTGTCAGGGTGCATATACACTCTTTAACTGAACTTTAGCTCTGTTGCCTAGAAAGTTTGGTGTGACTGTGGAGATGTAAATCTGCAATCAAACTCTAATGCAGATCAAAAATGCAAACTCTGGTCTGCCAAAAAACTCAGGTCTTGGATAGATTGAAGTGAACTCTGGTGCAGTTCTAATGCATATGTGAACGGCAAGAAAGAGCGCTCCAAAAGCAAGAAGAGACTAATGAGCAGGAAATTCTGAGTACAGACAGCCAAAATAAATCAGTCCAGAGAGAGAAATGGCTCATGGTTTGTTGCATTTTGTGTAGAAGAAATGTGCACTCATGTCTTCTTCTGAGGTTTTCGTGTTGTTTCCTTCAGTAGTTCTTGGTGCAGTGCTACCAAAGGTGAGAAGGTGAACATGTTTTTCAAAGTGCAACACGGTGAGAAAGCGCCAGACTACCTGAAAATGCAACAAATGTTGCAGTTTTGGTCCCGATTGAACCGAGTCTACTGGATTATTAGGTGTGAAAACACACATGAACAAAATATCTGTCTATAGCACATAAAACATATAATCAATTGTCCCGGTTCCAAAGTTCATAACAGCTATTATGTACACACTAAAATCCTCTGAGTTAATACCAAGATGAGCTAATTTGGGTAATTTTGGCTGAAGGATTAGGTTTTCAGCCCTCAAAGTGATTAAAGTGACTAATATTCTGGCAAAATACCAGAATAACTCC